AAAAAAAAAAAAAAAAAAAAAAAACAAAGTTTCATATTACATTTTATTTTTACGGGTTATTTAATTTATATAAACATTAAATAATGTTTTAAAATAAATTGTTTTTTAAATAAAAACTACAATAATTTATTAATTTCAAAATATAGAATCAATTTTTTGTTTTTCTTGTAAAATATCAAAAATGTAGATACTGAGCCTTACTATTAAGAAACTTATGTTAAAATACAAAAATTAAACGTGTTATTTTAACAATTTAAGGCAAAGAAAAATAAATTTTAGTGAGGGTCTAAACAACAATGTAAAATTTGTTTAAAGAAAATTAAGCCATGTGAATATTTATAATAGCTACTTTAGAGTATTCATTTTAAAATTGGTGGCATTAATAATCCATTTCAATAAATAAATGTGTGTAAATAGTTTTTTGCTTGCCTATAATTTTAAAATGTACTGTTTATCCCTTTCTGCCATCCACAAGCATTAATTTTGAGTGTTAAAAATGTCTTGAAAAATAAGTTTTCTTTTTATAGAATTAACTTTTTTATGAAAAAATGTTCAATTAATTAATGTTAAAAATGTATAACATGTTATAAAGTAAAATTAAAATTTTCAGAATGTAAACGTGAGCTAAATGAAGTTGGTAAACAGATTTATGATATAGACAATAGTTTAAATCCCATGAAAAGTACTTTTGAAAGTATTAAAAGTAAACTTAAAAATATAACCTCTAAAATTTATAGTAAGTATTTTTAATATTTTATATTCTTACAACATATATTGTGTGTTCAAAAATTAAGGAATAAGATCAATTTTTATAAATAATGAGAACAATAAAAACCGGTTTCCTTACTGAAAAAACTATATATTTGATATGTGTTCTTATCAGGTGAAGCCTAAAAGATTGCAAAAGTAGCAGGTGCATTCTTTAGCTTAATTTATGTATTTTGCGTGAACACCTTTAATTATTGAAAATATTAATGGAATTTTAACAGACATCAACTAATTATAGACCCTAAAAAATGTTAATTATAGTCGAGTTATCTAGTTGTAAAAGATGTTTATAAATAAACATATATATGTTTATATAACTCCTATATAACTCTTGGACTATGTTATGTTTTGGGATTCATTTTTATTGATTTGAGATCATTTTTTTCTGTTCGTAATAATACATAAAGGTTCCCAGAAGGGTATGATGTTTTTAAAATGATATTATACCTCTCTGTATTGCAAAGTAACGGGTTATTATAAGAATTGTTTTTTTTGGAACTCTCATGCAACGGTCAGTGGCGATTGTCAGTTTTGGTCGTTACATTATGATTACCATATTATATGATGTTATATTTGTTGTTTCATACTCTAACTGAATTAAATTGTTTTAATACTTTTGTTTAGACAATAGTTAAATACTATTTTTTAAACTCATTTCTTTTAACACTATATAAACATCATTTACAAAGATAAATATATTGATATTATTTATACAAAAATGTTTAAATCCAATTAATTAAGTTTTGTTAGTAAGAACAGTTAACAGATATGAATGTTGAATGAAGAAGAGGTAGAAGAAAATCAAAAAAGAGATAAAGGGATGTTATTGAATGCGATATGAGGACGGCTGATGTGAGCGTAGATGATGTGGGAAATTGTGTCAAGTGGAAGTTTAGAATAAGGGTGGGCTACTCTAAGTAGTTTGTAATAAGGTGAGGGAAATGAAGAATTAATTAAGTTTTGTTAATTTCAATTAATTAGCAATTGATCAAGAACTTGAACGAGAAAAAAGAAAAGAAGATGGTAAAAATCAATTGATTCAAAGAAAGTTTCCAGAAATGTGGAAAGCTATTACTTGGTTGAGAAATTGCGATAAGAAATCTATTTTTCAAGGAAAAGTCTTTGAACCATTATTCACTCAGGTAGTAATTTTAAAATTAGTTTTCTTTAATGCAATTATAATTAGAGTGTTATCAATTTTCCTATTCAATATTAATTTTTATTGATGTTTAAATAAAAGCTTATCAAATGGTGGTTTCCACTTTAGTAATTATTAGTACTAGAATTGCCATCTTAAAACTTACAAAACTTCTTGAACACTACCTGATTGGTCTCATTTGAGTTAGGATAAGTTACTTAATATTATAGATGATTAAACTAAAAAAATCCTTTTTATAAGCACTAAATATCTTACTTATTGATCATCTTTTGTATTAGTAAAATATTTAAAGAAAATTTACTACTAACTATGATTTATATTAACAATTATACAAAATTAAAGTAATTTATTTTTTTAAATTTATTTGTATATTGCTTATTAAATATTTTTAGATTGAAATGATTGATAATAAGAATGCTAAATACATTGAAAATATAGTAAATTATAGAGATATGATAGCATTTGTATTTGAATATGCTGAAGACTTAACAATATTCAATAAAATTGTGAAACAAGAACGTTGGCAAAGAATCAATTCTATATCTGCTCCTCCTCCAAATTATCAACTAAATGATACACCAAATTATGACATAAATTATTTAAAGTAATTAATAGTAAAATTTTTAATGATATTTTAAGCTATCCTAGATCATTAAGCTAAATAAAAAAATTAGTCTCACTTAAATAAAAGTATCTTATTTTATTGTTTCTTTTTTTTATTAGAGAAAAATAATTAAAATATGTTTTTAACATAGTCCAAAACTAAAAACTATTAAAATAGTATCAGAAAATATTTTGTAGATTAATAGTTGTTTTGTCAAAATAATGTAAATCACTCTGCATACTTATTTAAATATATCGATATTTACTTACATATTTTGATTAAATTGTTTACTGTTTTATGACAATTTTACTTAAGATAGAATGTGACAGATTTTTTAATTGTTGAGTATACTCTAATTATTATTGAGGTGGGCATAATGCCTATGTACTCAGACCTGTTGATCCAATGTGCACATAGATAAACCCTAATTAGTAAGATTGTTAAAATCTTTTATGTAGCAATACCTTGAGTATCAATTTTAGAGATTATTTAAATAATTAAAAAGTTAGAAAAAATCTAAGAATAGATTTGGTGTAGGCACAAAAATTGATTTAGATTACTTATATTTTTCATAAAAAAAATTATTCAAAAATGTTTGTAATTAATGATTAAAGAAAACTATTTTTTTTATATAGTTAAAGAAGTTATAATTTTATGTGAAATCTTTTTCTTTTATCAAATTCGGTGTCTTAATATATAATGTAATTGTATGTTACAACACATTTAATAATGTGCTAAATATAAACTAAAAAGATAAAAGATAGGTTTATCCAAAATGTTGAGATTTGAATGCATTTCTATTATATTTAGCAATTACATTAAGTTTACATTGTTCTAACTAGACAAAAGTGAAATTTTTGAAATTCCCATAACATTTTCAGTATGTAAGTTGGTCAACCATATCCATAAATTTTACATAATAAAAGTTACAATGAAAATTTAGCTTTTACTTTTTAAAAATAACTGTTTTACTTAACTTCGAAAACTAAAGGGTACGGCTTAAGTTTATCATTATTGACCTCTAATATTGCATAGCTCATTTATATAATCATTAAAACAAATTTAGAGGGTGCCATAAGAAAGAAAAACAAAATGAATATTTAAGAACTACCTTATTATCATTTTACACATATTTGGTTTTTAAATATTTTGATGATTTAGTCATAATTATAAAAAGCTCTATTGACTTTTCTTTAAAATATGTATTTATACTTAATATATTTTTAGATTAATGATTGTATTGATAAATTGTATTAAATAAATTGTATTGCATTAATTTTTTTTACTTAGGCAATTTGGATTTCTTATGTATGCATTAGAAATGATAAAAGTACCTTCAGTTATTAAAAGATACTTGGTGAAAAATTATGGTTTGCATAATATACCAATTGGAGGCAAAGAAGTATTGAACTATCTAGATAATTTGCCCGAAGATATAGGATTTTTTTTTTCTGGTATGTAAAATTAAACGAATAATCATTATTTTTAATTTTGATACATTAATTTTGGTTAATAGATGACTTACTGTATACTTTATAAATTCTAAAATAATAAATAAAAATGTCTTTTCACATTTCGGGTTAAGTGGGATAAATTAAAAATAATGGAGAAATTGTAAATTAACTTTTGCCCTTAAAATATTATTATTAAGCAATTATTAAGCAAATTCATTAAATCATTAAATGAAAATACGAAATAAAAATTTGTGTGTTTATCTAAAAAAATGAATTTAAAAATACCTCACTTTGCCATAATGAAAAATTTTCTGTTGACCAATTAATCAAATTATAATCAGAAAAGTTAAAAAAGTTATATTTTCTTATACAATTTTACTTGAATTAAAATTTTTTTCTCCTAATTTTTGTAAATTTATTAAAAAAATTTGATTTTTTAATTTTCCTATAATTTAACTTTTTGAAAAAATCCTCTTTAATAAATAAATATTCAAATAGTATACAAATAATGTTAACAATGAGAGAAAATGAAAAATATCAACTAAATTTTCTGTTTTACTATGTTGAGTAATAAATTGAATAAGGTGTTTATTATTAGAATTATATATATATCAGTAAAACAATTAATTTTTTGTAATTTTATTAATAATTCTTTTGTGTGGCTCTGAAGATTGGCAAATTTTTTATATTTCATTTTTATAAAAATTAAACTGTTAAGTTGGTAATATATATAAAAAAACTACTTTTACTGTATAGGTAATGATCAAATTCATATTAGGCGTTCTTTATATACTGGAGAAAAAATCACTCGACAATCACAAATATCCAATGATGCACAACTTTTAATTTTTTCAGTGAATTCTAATTTAATTCAAGCTTTGAATTTAAAGTATATTAAAAATGATTATATTAGTCAAATTTTTTTATCTATTGATTTGTAAATTATAAATTATACATTATTTAAAAAGAAAACAAGAAGCCAAACAAGAATGTGATAATGCTGAAAAACAACTAAGTGAAATTGTTAATCTGTTAAAAGAAACCGAAAATAGTAGACAGCCTTTATACTTAAAAAAGAAAGAAATTCAACGAAGTATTATGAAATTCCAAAATAGACAAAAAGCTCTCGATAAAATGGTTAAAGACATTGAGTTGACTCAAAATGAATTAAAAAGAGAACATGATAAATCTACTAAATATGAAGCCCAAAATTTGGTAAATTTGATACAAATATCTAATTAAATTTTTTTTATTAAAAAAATTTAATAAAAAAATGTATAATAGGCTTTGGTTGATAAGTACTTTGAATCTATGAAAGATATTTTTCCTTTATTGGATAATTATGCTACTTCATTAAAAACATTAATTGCGTGTGCATTTATTTTGGAATACTGTGGAACAGATATGAATGCAGAATGCAATGTTTTGAAACAACTTAAACAATTGTATTTAAGAAATCAGGTATTGAAAACAGTTAAATTACTTTATTTCTTACAGCAAAAATTTAAAATTGTAATTTTAACTAAATAAGTAATTTTTAATGTTAGAATAAATCAATCATTTATTTGAGAAACGACAGAAGTCCAAAATATTAAACTAGTAGAAATCAATAAAAACTGTTTTTTAGTTTCCATTGGTGTGTTTAGTTAAAACTAAAATAGTGAAAGAAAAGTATTTGATAAGATACACCAAATTAATACAAAAAATTTGAAACAATTTCATTTTAACTTAAGGGGTCATATTTGAAAGCTCTGGACTTGCTTAATTTTCACAACTGTATAACTTTTCAATATATAAAAGTATATTTTAGAATATAAATAACTTGTTTATATTTAATTTATACTTAATTATACCATTATTGGTATATATGTGTAATAAAAGCTGAAAAAGTTGTTTTAAATTTTAAAATTAATGTACTTATAAATATATATTTATATAATTTTTATTTCACAGAAATCAACTTAAGAAATAAATAAACCAATTTTAATGAAATCATTCTAAATTTTGCATAAAAATTAGAAGTATGACATTTAAATAGCTCTATGCTATATATAAATTGACGTAAGGGTTTGAAATTTTATAGTTAACTTTAATAATATACATTTAAAGAAAACTGAAAAAAATAATTTCAAAATAGTTTTGGCGAGCTAAATATACATTTCTGTAATTTCTGACCACTGTGATCCATAGTGTATGAGGTAAATTAAAAGGTCTTAGAGTGATAAATATTTTATTTGCATTAAAGAAACTTTTTCAAAATCTTACTCACATTATTTTTAATAATTTTTAAATTTTTCCTTTAATTTAAGAAGTTTAATCAGCTGTCTTTATATTATTTTATATATATTGAATTTTTATCTAAGATTAAACTCAGTAAACATACAATCACTTTAGTCTTAATTAAATTATGATAATTATTTGATATATAATGTAAAATATTTACCCAAAAAAAATTTATGGACAATTATAAAATTTGTATATTATTTCATTTTAAGCAAAGATAAACTATATTTTTGTTTAACTTATTTTAATTAACTTTGTTTTTATCTAAATTTATTATATATTTAGTATTTAGTATTTACATTCTCTTACAAATTATGTATTATTAAATATATTCTTATTAATTATATATTCTTTTTAAACATTTTTAATTTTTAAGTTATGACCATAATAATTAGTTAGCAAATGTTTTTTAATAGCAAAACTTTGATGACTACATTAAATATTTACAAAAATTAGATGTTGAATTTAATAAAACATCTGAAGTTGCACTTTATTGGAGTCGAGGTGTTTCAGTTTATGATAAAGAATTGTTTTCACAATTAACAGCAAATTTTCAAACTATTGAACAAAATGATTTAGAAGAATTAGATGAATTAATTGTTGATAAGAAAGCTAAATTAAATTGTCTAAATGTTGATCCAAATGCTCCTCAAGTATAATTTGTATAATAAAATTATTTAAAAAAACCAATTATAAATTAATTTATGATTTTTAGTTGATTAAAGAATATAAAGATAGAAAATATAAAATCAAGTCTTTAGAAACTCAATTAATGAATTTAAATAGCAATGCTCAAACACAAGAAGATCAAATAAATAAACTGCAGTCAGATTGGCTACCTAAATTACAAAAATTAGTTGGTTTATTAAATACTAATTTTCAATCATTCCTTTTAAAATTTGGCTGTAATGGTTTAATTGAACTAGATGTTGGAGTTACTAGGGTAAGCTATATTATATATTGTTAAGTCATAATAATCTATGTTGTTGACTTTTTTAAGTATGACTTTCAAGCTTATGGGCTTTTAATAAAAGTCCAATTTCGTAATGATGAAGGTTCTTCAATGAGGCAATTAGATGCCAAAAGTCAAAGTGGTGGTGAAAGAGCTTTATCCACAGCATTATTTTTATTAGCTCTCCAGGAAGTTACTCATTTTCCATTTAGGATTGTTGATGAAATTAACCAAGTAAACAAATCAATAGTTTCTTAAATATTTGTTTAATATTTCTAAATAATTTCTATTTATAGGGTATGGATAAAGTATATGAAAAAAAGCTAATGGAGCTATTTATGGATCTTTTTGAAACCAGAAATAATCAATATATAGTTGTAACTCCTAAGGTTAGTATTTATTCAATTAAAAAAAAATGTATAATTAATATTTCAAAATATTTTTTTGGAAGAGTTATAATTACAGAAAATGTTATGATGATTTCTAATTTTTAATATTTTTTTAGTATTAATTTTTACAATTCTTATTGATTATTAACCTATTCAAAATTATAATGTTTCAGCTTATCAAAGATCTTACATTTAAGAACACTACTGTAGACATAATATTTTGTCTTGAAAAAATATAACTTTTACATTTATGTATCAATTATGACATGCTAAAAAGCATGTGTTTTATTTAGAAACACCTATTATTATTTACCTTTTTTTTTATTGTTAATTAATGATGTATACTTGTTAAATGTCTTTTGTGTATGAATTAAGGTTGTTATTTATAAATGTATACTTCATTGTTATATTTTCTATTTTTATTAAAAAAGAACATTAAACCTAAAACATAAATTATCAAATAGAAAAATTATTTAGTATATTTTTTCATTGAACTTACAATTAATTTGATTGTTAAATGACCAAAATTATAACTCATAAATTATGTACCATTGGAAAATGTTATATATCTCCAATTGATTAAGACATGTAGGTTGTATAAATGGTGAACTTAAATAGAATGTTAGTATCAATTTTAATCATTTTTTTATTTAAAGTTATTTTTAATTATAATATATACATTAAATATAATGGTCTGAAAATTGAAAACTGCTTAAATCATTATAATCAGTGGTGTAAGTATAAAAAAGGCTCTCTTCCAAATCGGATGTATGATTTAAGGGCCCTAATGTAACTGCATTTTCAGCATTCCCCTATTTACTCCATTGATTATAATCAACAAATTTGTCTAATTTTTTACATGTTGTTAAATATATCTGATTTAACAGTTTCTTTTCTATACAAAATTTGTATTCCTGCTTCATCAATTAATGAATTACAATGTTTGTATAAAATACTTTGTATATTAAATAAATAATACTATTTTTCATATGTATACTTATAAAATAAATTGCTTTTTCTTTCTAAAGCAATAAAAAAGATTTTTCAGTAGACTGTTTAAAAAACTGTAATTATCTTACAGTTATATGGAATTTTATAAAGTGTAATGACTTTATTTAGGTATTAAAAGAAGAAATTTTTTTTTCAAAAATATTGAGTTAAAACTTTTTTATTCTATTTATTAACTGTGCAAGAGTTATGTTAATGACTAGACCCAGCACTAGAAATGACAGAGCCCGTGGAAAATAATTATGCGAGCTTCTTAATATATTTTTTATAGTCATCAACTTAATTTGCAAAAGGTCCCTTAGCACACTCCTAGCGCCTGTCTTATCATAAAGTGTTTACTGATAGTATTTTATTTAAAACGACATTGATAAATCCTTTAAATGAAACTCATATGAGTTTATTTGCTTACCTCATAATTTGAAATTTATTTTGTTTTTATTCTTAGAGGTTGAAAAAGTTTTTATTAAAAAAAAAAAATATATATATATATATATATTCTTTGTTTTAATTAAATACTTAAGCCTGGATTAAGGAGAGGCGAAATCTTCGAGATACATGAACTTAAGAGGTTAGTTTTTTTATGGTTGCGATATTTTCTATAGGTGCTCATCACATGGTGCTCATTGGTATCAACACACTAAGAAACAGTGCGTTACCAACTAAGCTAAGTAGACAGACTTGCGTAAAGTCTTAGTGTGATTTGTTTTATTATTAGTTTACATCACAATAATAATTTAATTTTTCAGGACCATATTTTGAAATTTTACCCAGTATTATTATTGATTTCAAAATTTTACCTTTTAAGTTTTATGTAGATAAATACTATCCAATACGAATGTTTAAGTTGAATCGTTTTGATAATTTTGTAACAATTATTATTATCATGTAATAATTATTTTTGGATATATATATTTTGTTATTCAATTAATGTAAATGAAAGTAAAATCTAAAATCATAGTTAACATTAAACATTTGAATTAATTAAAATACTGTATTTTTAAATGATTATTTTTTATTTCACAAATATTTATAATACACCAAAAAGATAATAAAAACCTACATATCTATTCTAATACAACTAAAAAAAAAAAAACAAGGATTATGCTATTTACATTGATGACAATCTAATGCAAAATGTACAAAAATGTATTTTAAGGCACTAATTTACCCATAATAGTATAATTTAATGAAATCATAATGTATTTCCACAATTGTAAATTATACATATTAATACTTCTATAAAAATCAAAACAATTATTTTATTAAAAAATATATATTTATATGGCAGCCGTAAAATTCAATGATAAATAAAAAACATTCTATCACATACTCTTGTCTAAAAAACATTAACATCCTTGATTATAATAATATTTTATATTTTTCTATACAAAATTATCTTAATGATAACTTTTTTAGAGATTTACAAAAATATAAGATAATATAATATAATTATTCAATATAGCTTAATTGAGGATAATACCATAATGTTGCTTATTATGCTGTTATTCTACTTTAATTATATTTTGTAAATGTTTACATCTATAAATCGTTTGTCTATACACTTCCAAAGGCACTATGTTCAACAAAGTCTATACAACATATTATATGTTCTGTTTCAATTAAATGTAATATAATTAAAAGTTTTGTTATTTCAGCATCATTAAAGAGCACTATACAAAATAAAAATTATTCAGAACTTTTAATTTAAAACTAAGGGGATACTGGGGAATGATGATAGAAATAAGAGATTATTTTACAATATAATAAATATCACAAAAGAAAAAACCGTTAGGGAGGGAGCGGTTTTTGAATAACTTAAATAATTGATCAAAAATAATTACTAGGTAAAGATGATTGATTAAAATTAATAATAGTAAAAAATTAAAGATAATAATTTTAATAAGAAAAAATTAGCGAGACTAGTATAATAATCGTTAAACAATACGCAATTTACCATTAAATAAGGAGAAAAACTCGAATAAGTTTTTTTAGCTAGTTCATATTAAATTATATTTTTGGCATTAGACCTTTTCAAACAATATTATGTACATGCATATATTTTGAGCGCATTTTCACTCTCATGGCGATAAATTATCATTGTGAACACGAAAAAATCGTGTACGTACACTTCATCAATTGATTAAATTTGAACGTATATTTAACTAAATTAATTATAAAACTTATATTAAAACTACATTTCAGTTTCATCTAGCAGCAGTAAATTATATTTGTACATAGGAACTGAACGTATTCGTCTCATCGATATAATGTGGTGTATGTTATTATACATATTATTCCATGTGTCTGTACTTGTGTGCTGTCATTTGGGAAAGACCAAGTACAGCATATTGGCAGCTAAGGCAGTGATAATGGGTTTGCTTGCCGGAGTGAACACATCCACCTGGTTGACTGCATGTCTGAGCCGGTGTAAATTTTTCGAAACCAGCCGCCATGATGGAGTCGAGTTTTTGATGTTGACGTCTGTGTGCCACAACTTTGTTGGTGTCAGTACATACAAATTCGCATTTTAAACAGTGGAAATGTGACGCCTTATTTTGACCAGTACCTTTTAGAAAATAAAATGAAATTAATAGTAAATATTTAAGTCAAAAACAAATAACAATAAAAATTGTATCCAGTAATTTCTACACTTACTGATGGCTGAGGCGTATGCACAGTCGGCACGACCACAAGAAACGTTAGCTCGGTATTGTTGAAAATCTCCTCCCATGAGAGTATCGAGTCTATGGTAAGATGAAAAAAAAATTAAAATTAAACGAGGTAATTATTAGGGTGGCTATATTTATAGGCTATAATGATAATAATATTTTTCTATATCGCCTACATTATTACCTTTCGTGTCTTGCTGTGTGTTGAACAAATCTTGTCTTATCGCAAAAACTGTAACCGCAATCTTGTCGCATGCAATGGAAATGTGTCTGATGTTCCCTGTACCCGCAATGCGTGTAATGACAATCTTCATTAAACCTAAATACCATATAAAAATTATTTCCAGTCACATACACACAATTACATTTTAGAAATAAAGTTATAAGAGATTATGTAAATTTAATTCCATATTTTTATGTAGAATAAAAAAGTTATATTAACGGGAAATATTTATTAGTATGACGCACGTATATATTTTTCATAACTTGACATTTGAGATCAATTTAAAACATATTGTTTATGAACTTATAAAGTATTTTTAGCGAGTTATGAAAAATAAAATTGATGTCTACTCATTTATACAAACCTGAATCTAAGATACCCTTCAGGTACTGGTTCGTCTTTTAGTATGCGCATTGAGTTCTGTACTCTAGCCTTTCTCATCTCAGGACTCATATCCCGCGATGGTGACATGGGCCGGTTATCGTTATTACCACCGGCCACCTCCGAACCACTACGATTCAACATACCATTAGTCAGCATAGAAGGATGAGTTGCAAAACCGGGAGGCGGGGCGAACATAAGACCTGTGGAAAGATTAAATAAATAAGAAATTTAGGTAACAAATTCGACTAAAAACTTTATGACTAATAATGCTTGTTATTTTCATTAGAAAATATTGTGGATTTTATTAGATTAAAGTAAAATACTTTTCATTTATTTGCTTACTTGTTGGAGATGAGTTGTACATGGCCTGAATGGCAGCATGAGGCATAAATGGTATTCCTTGTGATGACATAAGTGAAGCAAACTGTTGGTTAGCCATTGCAGCGGCCATGGCAGCGCTGAACCCAGGAGGATATGGAGAGTGAGGCGGTAGACATGCAGTTGCCGGATTTCCGCCGTCACTAGTTATGGGCATCATGGTTAAGGCTGAAACAGAAATAAAATGAAGACTTTTACTATACAGAATTACAGGATATAACGTGACCGAAAATTTATTATCCAAAAGTAAAACATTTCAAAGCAAACTGTTTAGTCGTTTAAAAACCTTAGTTTATAGATTTATCGTTCTTATTTTTTAGTTTTATCAAATAAATCGATCGACTTACCCGGAGGATGGCGAACGTTGTCTTCGGATTCGTTGCCTTCGTCGTCGTCATTATTATTGTTGTTTTCGGATTTCTGCATGAATGTCGGAATGGCACCCGGTGTGTGTTTGATTATATGCGGTTTCAGTTTGTCTAACTCTGAGAAAGCCTGCATAAAAAACAATATTTTAAGTAAAATAAAAAACTCAAAATCCGAACACAAAGAGCGCATATTTTTAATTGGCGCGTATAAAGTATGGTTGTCCGGAGGGCCACAATAAATTTCACTATGTACAACCACAGCCACGGTCATCAAACCTGCGTATTACCTGCAGCAACCGTGTGTTTCCAATTATTTGTATACAATAATAATTAAACGAGCATTTTTAAGTTTATTACTTTCGGTGTTTGATGAGTTATTATTAAATAGCGTTCACCTAAACATTTATAAAAATTGAATTTTCAAGTTGATTACCTCGCGGGTGGGCGTGTTCATGATCAGTTAGAATTATTGCATTTTCGCCTCAACCCGAAATTATGTTACAAAACTTACTGAAGTATACTACCTACTTTAAAACCTTAGCTTATGCGCATAAATACTTAAAAACCAATTATTTTGACCGTAACGGATTCTTTGGTTTGTTGTTTATTTAGATAAATATTTATCTTAAATATCAATGTAACTTTAATTTATTATTATTTTTACAATTTATCAAATGAAAAATAAAATTTTGAAGTTTCGATATGACAATTTGTTTGAAAATGTCATCGGTGTATTATTTGTAAAACGTTTGATAAAAATAATTTATATAAGAAAATGTCAAGAATCTATAGAAAAACAAAATAAAAATCAAACCGTTAAAAAAACCAAGTAACATAATTTTATCTTTAAGTGTATACAAACACGACGTGCAAGAATTACCAATCGACACTTGTTTGGCTAAAAGTTTTGGTTTAACGGAAAAATGTTTGATTTTGTATTTTGCTACTACTGGTGTTGTCGTCCTGAACACCATGGGAAAAATTACCGAAAGAAATCATTAACAAAGTAGAGAAAAAGGGGAAATACTCATTTTAATCGTTTTTTTTACTTCCTACAAAATTAACACCCGGAAAAAGAGAAAGGCGGTTTAAATACAAAAAAAATATAAGCTAACCCGGCTTATGCCCCTTCGTTGTCGCCGTCGTCAATCATTTAACTCTTTCGTTACGCACGTCAACTGATTGCATATGCTCAAAAAAATATTAAATGAATTGCATAGCCACTCTAGGTCGCGTTTACCCTTAGCCATCGTAGTCGTCGAGTTGGTAGTGTGTTTCCCTTAGACTGTTGTATATTTTGTAATTATTGTTGCAACTTGTACATGTTATTATTACAATTTAAAAAAAAGGGGTGAACACGGAAACCGATGACGTTGATGCTGATCGATTATCGATTTTCTCGAGTAGGACGGGAAGGGGAGAGCCGGCTGCGCGTTTTTCATTATATTTTTTATTCTATTTCTTTTGTCGTCGAATCATTAATCATTTTTTCGGAAGCGATTCGCCGCCGCCGCCGCTACCGTCGTTGTCGTCAATCGATTAAAACCCCTCGTTTCTTAAAAAAAAAAAAAATGATTATTTTCCCTTCTTTTATTTTCTTAAAAACCCGTATTTTTAAAAAAAAAGTTTTTTTCGCTTTAAATTCTCACGAGATTGTTATTTTCGGCGTATTGTTAACGATCAAGTTGTTGATGCGAAATTCAAGACACGTAACCAGATACCCTCCTCGCCTTTTCTTTACAAATATTGAGTGTTTTTTGCCGCACCATCATCAATTTTAATCAGCGAAAAGAGTCGATATATAGTGTGAAATGTGTGCTGCACTTAAACTGATTAGAAATGAAACCGTTTAATGGGGATGCCGTTTTTTCTTCAGTAAATATTATTAATAACAAATGCCAATACACCTCGAATAGAAATTTAAAATTTTTATTAATGTTATTTTGACTCTAATTATTAGAGTACCGTTTCCATATCGTTATTTATTTCTGTTTATTCGGTAATTCGATAAACATTTAAATAAACGCTATTTTCTAATAAAAGTGTTTTTAACTCGAAGACTATTTTTTAACACGTTACATCAGATTTAATAGTTTTTAACCATGGAAAATGCGGCAATATCAAAATGCCATACTAAAATGGATAAAAAAGCGTTGGAATACGATAAGGCAGACGCAAGTCCGGGTCCGGCTGCCTATGCAAGTCGTACAACTGTGGGGCGAAAGAACTGTATGACCAACATACCCGTAGGTCCGGCCTATACGATAGGTCAGAAATTGAATTTTAATGCGGAGACCGAGAGTCCTGGACCCGTTTACAATTTGGAGCGGCTGACAAATCGAGGTCGGGCATTCGCGCCAAAATTTTCGTTGGGCTCCAAACTAGTAGAGTTGGAGCATAATGAAAGTCCTGGACCTGCAGCTTATAAACCGAAAATTCCAAAAACAGTTCAACCTAAGATTCTTTTGCCTTTAAAAGAGCTGACAGTAAGTCAATCGTGTTCATTATTTACTGACAATGTATTGTTTATATTTGATAACGAATTTTGTCTTAGATAGACGAGGACAGGCCGGGACCCAACGCTTATAAGTTGCCGTCAACCTTAACCCGAAAAACTGCACCTCTATCGAAGAGAATTGACGAACCAATTGAAACAGATTCGCCAGGACCAGCATGTTACGCACCCGTGCCGGTTCAAAAATTAAAAAAAAAAGCGCCTGCATATTCGTTGGCTAAAAAATATGAAGATCCAGTGTTGGTCGATGAAATGAAAAACATTGCACCGGGTCCACAGGCCTATAACCCATCGCTCAAGTATAAGTACAATAACGCGCCTAAGTTTTCATTCGGAATACGAAGACCAGACAAGTTTCCACCACACATTGTTTGCGGAGACAACTTAAAGAAAAAACCTAAATAATTTTTGAAATAAAAATAAAAAAAAATGATTACATACCTGATTACATGCATTACAGTGATAATGTTCTTTTCTTTTGAGTTTACAGAAAGCACGACTGCACGGCTGTTCGGGTCCGTATTTGTCGTGTCTATCCAAGCTCATCCATTCAGGTAGTACTTGAATGGTAACGACTGGTTCGATGCTCAAACTGGGGTCAGTTTTAGGTTTTTCTATATAAAACATATTAATCGTTAAAAATATTCATTCGAAAAGGTGTAAGTAAAATGATATAAAAATCCAAGTAAAAAACATAGCGTGTACACATAATAAATATGTACAATACAATATTTTGCGTGCTAAAGTGAAATAAAGGTAAATTTAATACGTGTTCTTTAATTATACTTCCACCAAAGCGTAGTACACTAATAAAGTAATGTATCCTATAATATAATTACAACTATTGCATTATTCTAATAACCATATCTGCATGACCCACCTGTAAGGGTAGCAGCAGGGTCTGAGAAATTTGGAGAGGAACTCTTAGCGTTCGATAGGCCGCTCATAGGGTAGAAAGTGCCCGAAGCCTTCACCACTTTAAACAAGACAGAAAAATACAATCAAGACAATAAAAAATACTACAGTAAGATTAATCGATTTATTATTCTATCAAAGTATAGCTTACCCGTTGTTGACCGTTGACTGGTAGCCGAATCAGATGGAGATGGAGTCGTTTGTGGTCTTGACGGAGATAAAATTTCTTCTTTAATTTGAGTATCTAATAAAAAACAACATATGAATTTATGTTACAAAATTAACCATATTAAAATAATTATATTTAAACGAATTTTTTTGTTTTAATTTTGACAACTTACCTAATTTTTCAGTACTTTGTAGGCCAGATGTGGTTTGATGTTGTAACAAATGTTGGGCCATCTGAGCGTATCTGGTGAACGAAAAACCACATCCCGCTCTTACACAATGGAAATGCTTATTTACCGTATTGCTGTAATAATTTGTTAAATAAATGATTTGTGAAATTATTAATTAAAAAAAATTAAACAAAGTATAAAAATAGTTTGGAATCTTACTTAACACAAGTCTCCAATCGACAATCAACAGAACTGTCAAAAAATAGAAATCCTTCTAGAATGGTCACGTTGTCATGGAAGTGTGTGGAGTGAGCTTGAAGTTGTTCATCATTATCTGTTGCAAAAAAGCATCGTGGTCGGCGACAATGATAGTGTAATGCTACACCTTCGCTTGTGTACTTGCAAAGATTGTCTGGACATCCATAACGGTATTCTTCGAAGCAATGTTGTTCCTATAATACATATTACACATTAAAATTAAAAATATTAGGTTTAATAAAACTATAAACACGAATTTTACTAGTAGACAATTTTTCTTACTAGTGTAGTTTGAGTTGGAACGTCTGCCTCTTCAGACAGTTGTCCAGTTTGAGAAGGTTTGGGCAACTTAAAGCTGGTGAAAATAGCTTGAGGCGAATCGCCAGTCGAACCGCCGGCATAATCGTTCCAGACTTCGATAACACGATTTTTTGGTGGTCGGCCGCGTTTTCTTCTGAATAAGGCGTCTAAGGAATTGTATTGACCGAACGGAGCGTCATGATTTTTTATGTGCTCGCCTCGTTCACACGGTAGTACTGCTTCATAACAACCCTCCTGAAGTATACAAAACAAATCTAGTTAATATTCAACAAATGTTTAAAAATTAATATTAACTTACCAAAACACAATGGTAATGTTGTTCTTTAGGACAGGTATCTTGACAATATGCAGGACCTCCAGGATAGAAACTCTCATTAATTCTTTCTTGGTTATCATGATTACGAGCGTGTGTTTCAGCTGATTCTTGGTTCCTAAATTTAAGTAATATAATAATATAAATACCTTGTATTAAGATTATGTTAATAGTATTTTTAGTCATAGTTGTGTAATTTTACCTGACGGGCATTTCACAGTTAGGCTCTTTGCAGTGGAAGTGATCAGCGTCGTATAACAAACAAGTCGAACCACTAGGGCACGTGTTTGGCTTGAATCTGGTGAGATACCTAGGCCAGATTTCAACGTCATCTAGAGATACATCCGGCATGATGGAAGAATTATCTGTGAAAAATCCTTGGCTGATTTTTGAAGTCACTCTTGACATAGGTAATGGAGACATTGGGCCTCCATCGCTGGAGCTATTACTATAGCTTGCTGCGTCACCTGCCTGAGCAGCTAGCGCAGATAGAGAAGCCAATGAGTTAGCTTGTTGATGAAGGAATTGTAAAGAACTACTAGGTGAAATTGACAAATCATTTATCTACAAGAACATTAAAAACAAATATTGGTTAAGGTATGAAAAATTAATTCTAAATATGCTATTAATTTTTATAAACTTTTTTTATCGAACGTACCTGATCCGGATTACCGGTCATGTTAAGTACGGCTTGCTGAGCCAACTTGAATTTCCTGTACGCTATTTCGCTATCTTTACGCTCATGTTTCCGTTTGTGGCTTAGCAGCTGTCCACTTGAGTGTAAAACATAGTTACAACCGTCGCGAACGCAATGGATGTGATTGCACACTTGAGAAAATCGACAATTTGAAAAACCACAGGGATCAGGCTTCATGAATTTTTTAAAGCCGTCTCTAGCTAATTGTTCGTCTTTAATGTGATAAGTTTTGTGTTTTTCTAAATAAAAGAGTAGAAAGTCGTTACATTTAATTATTTAAATTAATTATTTTTAAGTAACTACTTTTTAGTTTTAACTTACCCATATCAGCCTTATTTTTAAAAGTGAACTGACAATGATCACGCCTACAATGGAAATGAGTGGTCCTTTGCCCGTAAAAAGCGCAATACGGAGTTCGACATTCCTCTGTTGCTCTAAGTCTCTGGAATCCTTCTTGAATGATGGCCGAATCTTTTCTGTGATAGTTGGCATGCATTTGTACATCCGAAGTACTGATGTACACTTTGTCACACGTGCCCTGTAATAAATATAAATTACAAATGAAACGGTTTTTTCTACATTGGATGTTTCATTAAAGAACCATATGATCCATACTTGTATGCAATGATAATGAGTCTGCTTGCGATTATGACTGCATCCCTGATATCTATCTGAACAGTCATCGCTAGGAGAATACCTCATGAAACCGTGTTGTAGACTCTCGTCTCTCTTTTTGTGCCACTTGAAGTGTCTGATCATTTCTTCTTTTTTGACGAATACTCTCGAGTTACAGTCGAGACAATGGAAATGCTCTCTGTAATAAAATAAATAATAGTACATCTTGCCGTTTTTGACGAGTCATTCTCGCCGTTGTTACCACCCCTTACCTGTAGTTTAGATCTCGGCACCGCACAGAGCCACATTCCTGGCAACTGCTGAACCTCCTCACGTAGCGGGAGTAATCGCTGGTCGTAGGTGTTGAACAGCCGCTACCTCCGCCAGCTCCTTGCAACACCATGGTGACACTGTTCAAAGCTGATGCGATTGACGAAGGTGTCGTTTGAGATTCGGGTCTACCGGTAGTTAACGCTAACGGGCTCAGCGACCGTTTTGATAATCCGTTATCTACAACAGAAAATATAACTCGATAAATACAAATACAATAAGCTATATATTATTAATAAGATTTTATAAGTCATCTCGGACCGGGTATTATATTACCCTCTGGTTCACAGTGTATAGAAAGTACGAATATCATGAGAAAAACGAACGATTCTTTCAATCCTAAGGAATCCGTATATTGCGAAAACAAAACAATAACGACACAATACGAGAAGCCACTGGATAGGGTTAAATAATCATTGTGTCGTTGCGAACGGGTAACCCGAGATGTAATCGTGTCACCTTTTTTTGTAAAAAAAAAAAATCGAGTTTCCCTTTCTTTGTACTTGTGGGTAATACACAAAAATATAATAACTCGCACACGTAAATATATAGTTTCAGAATAGGGTTTTTTGTGTAAAAAAATGTGAAAAAGTGTATAAGGTGGTGAACGTAACCCGATGCTGGATGAAAGGGGTGACACACGCAAGCAACGACCGCGTCACCACCGCACCGGACTGTTTTCCCATAATTATGTGCAATGGTCCAGGTGCCCCACGTTCAAGCGAAATAATAATAAATCCTTGGCAAAGCAAAGAAATAGCGAACCAACCCTTTCGCCCTAGCAAAAATAAAAAAAGGTCACCTTCTTTTTATCAAAAGGAGTAAAATACAATGAGACATGTGGTGTATAAAAAAAGGAAATTTATCAAAAAAAGAATCACGATACAATGTATTTTGTTTATTTGAAGAGAACCGTCTCGACAATTATTCTTTTATTTTTGATCATGTTCATGATTTTTTTGTTGTATTCCCAGGGTACGGATTTTTATAGCGTACAACCGTAGAAACAGGATATCGACGCTTATTATGCGAAACCGTTTGTGTACAAACCACACTCACAGGTATTATGGTAGTGACGAAACTGTGGTGTGTCGTTAAGTTCTTGTACAAATAAAAGAAAATTTGCATTTTATTTTCCATTTTAGAATGACATCATGGAAATCACGTGGGATGAAATATTATATTATGTATTATTCCGAAAGACCAATCGCTGAAGAGACCTATTCGCTTCAACGTTATTATGTTGGACAATTGCAAGTCATTCATTATCTCTTTGCCGCCGCCCTTGACATGAATAACTTGAAAATAGCAATAATGAATTTTTTTGTGATTTGATCGTGTATCCTTATATTTATACTTAATGTTAAAAAATGAAAATAACCGAGAGTAAACAACAATAATATCTATGTACTTATCGTGGGCCTCGTCAAGGTGGTCCAAGGATTTAACAGTTAGTCGTGAATCAGTTTTGTTAATGCAGCGCGTGTGTCAAAACTCAGATAATTAAAATAAAAAGTAACGGAATCTAATAGGTCGGTATATTTTTCACCGTCGTACTGTAAGTCACAATGTCTCTGGGAAGTTGTAAATTTCGAACCCTCTCCCTTTTGCGTGTTATATTGTGTGCAAAATTGAAAACTTATCAGATTCGATACTGCATGTTTTAGTCATATCAATGACTGAGAGTAATAACAAAACAATTTATAAAGAACGGAAAAGAATATTGTTTTAATAAACTAAAAGTACATTGTCCTAAATGAAAACTATTGATCTTTGAACGAGGCAGGTACACAAGTATATATTTATATCTGTAATAATTTTTTTTATTACATTATCGAACTTTAAACTTTTTACCCATTGTTCGTTTGTGTCATTGTAAAAAAGTTTAAAGGCACAAGGTTCGTAGACGTTTTACAAAAAAAAAAATAAAATAAAATAAAACTCAATCACCATGGTAACCGATTATTGTTGATATTATTGGAAATTCTTTTTTTTTTTTTACTCTTACCCTCGACTTCTGAACATTTTCTGTACCCGCACGTCGTCATACTTTTAAAATTGATTATCCAGCGTATTCGTCTTTCCACCTAAGCGGATTTAATACAAATCGGTTTAGTTCTTAGCGATATATTTTTTACGTGCGCTTCGTAGACGTGTAAAAATAAAAAATCTACCCAAAACAAAAACCACCAGAATCGTTTATCCTTCCGGCTACAGTCATCACGTGCGGGCGCATAGTAATACGATAGTGCACTGCGGATGTTTTGTATACACTGTTTTATTATCTTCCGGTTATAATCTGTCAGTAGTACTGCCAATCTAGTAGCTTTACGGTTCTGTTTATTTTATTTTCAATTCGATTTTTAACCTAGTTAATTAAGCTTACTGATGCAAAGCTAGAATTTAACGATAGTATTATGCCATATAGATTCCGATTTCTTAGTATTTTTTTAACGGCGCTTTTCACGCGATACCGATTTTTTGTATACAATTTTTGTTCTGTGGGTGTACAAAAAAATTACTTCGGGTTCGCAAATCTATTTAGTATCGACGTCACCTGCAGTGTACGCGAAAGCCAGTATTATATGCAACATATCTATAGACATATATTCACCGACTATAATTCATCGGATACGCGCGTTTGAAAGGGATGGCTTAACAAAAAAAAAAAAAAAAGGGAAAATGTAATAATAATAATAAAATCAAATAAAAAAGCGTCGTTTTTACGGGTGTTGCCACCGAGACGGGAGGAGGATTTTACGGGCTTAACATATTTCCATCCATTTTACAGAAAATTTAAAAATGATGAAGAAAAGACACGATAATGGTATTTGAATTGTACGGCAACGTGTCTTAAAGACATACGAGGTCATGACGAAGCATAAACCAAATCGCTTAGAGGTGTGGGCACGACGACTCATTCGTCGCGTTTATGGATTTAACGAAAAATAATAATAATAAAAAGAAATCATATATTTTTTTTGTACATTTTTCTACTAGCATTATATGATTATTATATATACAGTAGTATTGTACAACCCGTTAAAGAAAAACATGTGGGTAAAATAAATACGAACAGAAAATAAATATCTGTTTACCTCCACCGTGGAGATATTTTGTTTTTGTCACCTCGGTGAAATCTGTGTGATATTTTTGTTCACTTGATTAATGGCCGCCCGTTCTCTATTCACGCCGCAAGCATGAAACAATAAACAAGGAAAAACACCTTCAAATGTGGTACTTTTCCACCATAACACTACTCCTAGTCATGTCAAAACGATGTTTTCATAGGAATTTCAAAATTCGAATTTTTATTCAATGTTTTGTGGTTCGCCGTCTCGGTCCACGGGCCCCCAGCTATTAAGTGAAACACAACGCAAGTATGCCAACGAATGTCAAAAGTTAAGTAACACACCGTTATCGTCGTCGCGTTGTACTATCCGCATTCTAGTTTTATAAGACATGATAAAAAAAAAAAAACACAAATAAACAAAATATGTCGACGTTTCGTAATTTCAAAGCAAACACAAAATGTATTTCGGTTAAAAGTCGAAAGCGTTTCGTCCGTTTGTCTTTGAGCAAAACTGTTACGTTGCTTCTTCAGAATTCAGTTACACAAACACAGAAGACACATAAACGTTAACATTAAATTTATGACGGTTTTTTTTTTTTTTTGGTATTGTTGATAGACATTAGGAATTTCACACAGCCTTTTTGCTCGATGAGGTAACCGGATTTTGACGTGTGTGCACACGGCTGACCCCTTTTGCGGAAATGCTGCACTTCCCCGAAGCGAAAAATTTAATCCCATATCCGATTTCTGTTTACGTAACGGGACGCGCATACCGTTTTTGCATTGTAACAATTTTTTAATTTCTTTCATCGGCAAAACGGTCGCGTCCTTAATCCTTTCCTTGAAAAAATAGGGTCCCCGACGCTGCTCGTATACTTGCCGCCGCTGGATGAGGGACCGGTTTTGTTATTTAATTTATATATATATATATATATATATTTTTTTTTTTGTTCATTTCGATCTTTTTGTACAAAACGACCCTCTGTCGCAGATATGGTTAAATAATACAAAAAAATCACTCTTCATAATGCTCGTATAACCCTTTTTATACATTTCGTACGCATATAGGGAAACGCGGTGCAGTACGTACTGGAAAACAATATTATTTTTTTTTATCCATTTTGAAGGGGTTGTAGAACACCTGGACATGCGGAAAACAGAAACGAGTGAACATTTTCCTAAAACATTGTACTCCCACGAATGCCCATTGTAAACATTCGCCTAAAATGGCGATTGACCAACAAATGTGTTATAATAATCAATTGCAATAACTAGTGTAATAAAGTCGGCAGTTTTTTACACAACATTTGATTTTTATCAGCACGGCAATTGTACTCGGACGGGTAAAGAAAAGCCCACCGGAGTACCGCCGAACCGTTTTATGATTTTCACAGTGTTATTTTTTTATTATTCTCGTTGAACGGTTATTGTAATTAACAGATATGTTATTGTACACCTACGTTGGAAATCACCGTGAACACAATATATAATATTTAGATGTTGATTCGCACAAACCGTGACATTTTCTGTGCGCGCTTCGTCATAAATTATTAATGAGCGATAGACGTTCACGGCGATGGTATAAAATAATTCAACTCAAACGATAATGAAGTGGAAAATAAGTAGCTAAGACATTACGCCTATGGAATGGCAAATGATGGCGGATATGTGCGATTGGTCATCCGAAGTCGTGTGCCAGTACACATTGTTAGGTGTACAACAAATAGTCGGTACATAAAATGCAGGTGACAAAAGAAATGAATAATCCAAAGGTACGACGAATATAATTTATGTCGTTGAAAAAACAAAAATAACAAACAATTCCCATTTTGTCGAAAAGTAATAGATGTGTTGGCCGCGCAGCGATTGTCTATTCGACACACGCCGTTATTCTCAAAGTTTTTTTATAGATTCGCCAAGTTGTTGGCTGTTATATATATATTACGAACGCGCATAATACATAAGCACACAAACTATAAGTCAAAAACGAAATTTTCATACCGGAAAAACATATATTGTTATTGGAAAAGATTTAGATAAGCAAATCGGAGGCGAAAATGGCACGCCTTGAGAATAATCATTACTTTTTTTTAAGTGTCCTATCGAT